GCACAGCCTGGTTTCCATATTTCCATATGGAAATAACATTTCATTGATAAGATGGCTAAAAGAAGAAAACCCACTCAGAGGAAAGACTCAGTTCATGAGTTCATCAGCGATAACTCTTTTTATATAATTTTTATTAAATATGAAGTATAAACCATTCCCCATCATCCTATCAGGGCTGAAGAAGCTTCTTGGATGAGAAGCAAAACATCATCAAAAGAAAAACCAGAAAGTCCAGTTGCCTCTTGAAAAAGCACCTTTAGGACTTCTGGCTGACATAGTGATGAGGCCAGAAGCAGCAAACGGAGGTCTCCATTCCTACTTTGGCTTCTTGCAGCTTGTGGGCTCCAGACAGAGCTGAAAGATGCCTTGTAGGGGTGGCGAAGCAAAGGAGAGGTGCCCAGTGAGGCTCCGGGGGAGAATGCCCAGTGGAAACTCCCCAGTGGAAACCCTGAGCTTGCTCTCTATGCCATGATGGAGAGAAGAGCGGGCCAAGATGGTCGCTTCAAAGTTGAGAGAACTTTGAAGAACCATCTAAATGCAGTGCGGAGCGGAGATTGGGAATGGTGTCTGAAGAAGGGTGAGAAGAATTTACTTTATTTTTGTCTACCCCAAAAGACTATAACAGAGAAGAAATATAAAGAGTATATATAATATAAGGTATAAAATATAAAGTATAGTAGGAATATATTTTTAATGAATTATATATTTTGTTATTCATTTGTATAAGGTAATGAGGATATAAAGTATTAAGTTTGATATTATTGGCTAAAAGAAAAAATATTTGTGTAAAAATGAGAAGTTAGAGGGAAGGGGATATATATAAAATAAAACAGTGGCAAATGTAATGTTGGGGTGATATAATAGGGGATAATATAAATTAAGATGAAACTTTGAATAGTCAATGAAATGGTAAAAGAAGAAAATTTGGTAATAGATAATGATATGATGTTAGAAAGTTGTATTTGTGACCATGGATATAATTATATAGTATAGGATAATATCTCTAATGAATTATATATTTTGTTACTCATTTGTATAAGGTAATGAGGATATATTGTTATAAGTTTGATATTATTGGCTAAAAGAAAATGAGATGGTAATGTAATATTGGAAAAGGGATTCAATAGGAGATAATATAAATTAAGATGAAATTTTGAATAATCAATGAAATGATTTGAATAGATTAAATTGTGAACATGTTGAATATAAGAATATATGATTAAGGAAGATACAGATTGATTAAAAATAGACTGGTTTAAAGTAACTTATGAGAATATAAAGAAGAAAACTTGGTTATAGATAATGATGTAAAGTTAGAAAGCTGTATTTGTGACAATGGATATGACTGATTTAAAATGTAGAACACCTGGAACCACATTGTTCTCTCAAAGATGTATTTAAATAATTAAAAAAATAAAAACTTTTCTACAAAAAAAAAAGAAAAGAAAAAGCATCTTTGGGACAACCATAGCTTGGATGACTGAGAATCTCCATAGACATTTCTATTAAATATATTTTTAAAGGAACATAAAGTACAAATTAATATAAAATAAATAAAAAGGAGAAAATAAATAGAAAAGGAAGCTAAAAGTGCAAGAAAGGGAAAAAAGTAAAAAAAGAAAAGAAAGGGGAAAAAAGATTCTTAGAAGTAACTTCTGATCATCTTTACAACCATTATAAATATAAGAATTAATTTAGCTCTCTCTTTCTGTATTTACAAGATAACTCTATTCTTCCTGTCTATATAGCCATCAAACTGCACATCCTAAATTCATTATTTTGTTGCATTTTATGCAAAAAGTCCTTAAGGGGTTTCTAGTCAGCAATAAACATGTATTTTCTCTTATCAAAGAAGTCAAATTTGCCATTTCAGCATCAATGATACACTCAATTGGAATGTGGAACTAAATTGCAAAGGGAGTTTTATCAGTTGCAAATTGATAAAATCAAACATTTTTCTAACTTTAAAAAAATCTCAGACTTTTTTGGCAGATGAACAACAAACCCATAAGGCCTAGTTTATATACTAATCCAGGGTATAATGTGATTGAGATTAGTTTTTTTGTGCCTCTCTTGCTTGTTCAATTTTTTTTATCTTATTTAGTACACACATGGATCGAACTATAGGTGAGCAGGATGTATAGATTTAATAGAAAAATGAGGGAGGACAGGCAAATATTTTTATAATTGATTGTAATTGAGTGTTGGTCATTGAGTATTGATTCTGTGTGAATGTAGTAAACAAGTTACTTTCTAAAGTTGAAAACAATCAAACTATGTAAAAAAAATTACTACTAGATTTGCTGCTCTCTTTATTTCCCCTCTAGTGGCAGAATATGATTCTTGCTATTGAAATATTTGGGGTTTTACTTCTGTGAACTAGAGCTAGTTGAGATGCATTTGGTAAATTAACAAATCTGAATATGGCATAATTGCAGATGAACATTCAGATTAAATTCCTGTCTGGAAATTACTATGTCAAGATGTCCTCTAGATGGCACTTTCTAACTCTGGTAAAATTACTTTTGAGGATCTGTGTTATTAAGTCTTTTAAAAGGCAGTATCTGCAAAGGTTTCTTTTAGATAGCTGAAGAAGCGAACTAAAGATTCAGGTCTGAGCACACATTGTCCAGGATATCTTGGGATTTTCAAACCAAAAATAATAGAAGTTTAACTAGAATGTATCTTGTAGATCAGGTGTATCCAACCTTGGCAACTCTAAGTCAACAACTATGGACCTCAATTTCCCCAGCCAGTCATGTGACTGGCGAATTTCGAGATCTGAAGTCAACAAGTCTGAAAGTTGAATGTTAGAATTAACAGAGGTGCTAAGGCAGTGATGGCTAACCTTTTTGCCATCGTGTGCCAAAAGTATGTGAGCGAGCATGCGTGCACACACATGTCTGCACCCATAATGCAATACACACACATCCCCCCCACCCCCCGTCCCCCTGCGCATGCGCACATATCTGCAGCATACACCCCAACCCCTGTGCATGAGTGGTAGATACTCAAAAATCAGCTGGCTGGTGGGAGGCATGTGCGCATGCACAATGGAACTGGACTGGGGCAACGGCTTGTGTGCCCACAGAGATGGCTCTGCATGCCACTTCCAGCATGTGTGCCATAGGTTTGCCATCACAGTGCTAAGGAATATAACATGATTGCAGATTTACTGGGAAAATGGCAGGCACATCCTATACCTGAACTGACATTTACAAGAAGAGTTGACACAAATGAGAAGGATGTTAAAGGATGATAAATATTTTTTAAAAAATTCAAATATAAAGCTGCTGGCTTTCCAACAAAAACATAAATCCTTGAGGACAGAATAGTGGCCAATCAGAAAACTGAGGGGTTGGGAGGGAGCTTAGGTGGCAATCCTCAGTGAAAGATTGACCAGAGCAGTATTTCTTAATATTGGCAACTTTAAATATGTGGACTCCAATTCCCAGAATTCCCCAGCCAGCTCTTCTGGGAGTTGCCAAGGTTGAGAAACACTGAATCAGAGCATCACTAGCATCACTATCAATTTGTTTTGAAGATCTCTCACGAAGAAGAACTAACCACTTCATGTTGCAGCCTCTTCCTCTGGCTGATAACTGATCTAGTCAGGTAATTCCTCCCCTTTGGTTTGGTTTTGGCCCCATCCCTGGGACAACAGACAATGACGATCACTCCATCTTCCATCTGACAATTTCAGAGTTAGTTAAAGATGGTTACCATAGCTGCCCACAACTTTAAGTTGTGTGGACTTCAACTCCCAGAACTTCCCAGCTGACATGCTCACTGGGGAACTCTGGGAGTTGAAGCCCACACAGCTTAAAGTTGACAGAATTCCAAACATTGACTTAGAGCAAGGGTGTCAAACTCGCAGCGTCACATCATCATGTGACATATCACTACTTTTCCCCCTTCGCTAAACTGGGGGTGGGCATGGCCAGCATGTGACACATCTGGCCTGCAGGCCACAAGTTTGACATTCCTGGCTTAGAGGAACAGGGGATGGGGGAATCACATTTGGTCTCCAAGTAGCACATCAGGGATTGTGCTTCAAAACAGGAAGACCTGGATAAAGAAGGATGTAATTTAAAATTAAAAGCCAGGTTTGATTTAATTTACATCTAATTAAAATTGAATCAAACTATTAGTTAATATAATACCTCTCTTTTCCAGATTGTGTTTACTTGTTACATAAAATAAATCTTGTTGGGAGAAATTGATATGACTGTAGAGTACAGTTGGGTTAAAGTTTGAATTGCTAAAGATACTGTACTTAAAACATTACTTAAAACAGCAACTAAGTAAACATGTGCCGTACAGTTTTCATTGGATTAATCCAAATTGTAACAATTTTGAATAACTCAGAATTGCACAAGTCCTGAAATGTATATGAGCTTTTGGCCTTATTGTGATGCTGCATAACCTTCTCACTAACAGAGGCCTTCAGATCTCCACAGTGACCTTTAAAGGCCATCTGACATGAGGCAGAATTAATTGTGTTATAGCCACTGATGTATTGTGCTGATGTTTGTGCATCTCTCAGAAAAGGGGATGTCATAACTTGCTTTGCTCATTCATCCCAGTGTCTCATTAGCACAACAATTAGATTTTTTTTATCTGCAGTTCCAAAGTATTCTTTCTTGTCTGGCTCTTTGGATGAAATGAAATCTGCCTGCAACTGTGACTCTTACTAGAGAAGACAACAACTATCTTTCACTTAAATCAAAGGTCAGGAAGAGTAACTGCTCAATAGAAGACCGCATTCACTCTCCTGCAAAATGGCATCACTGTTGGTCATTACAACCTCCTAGTTTCTCACCAGTTCTATTATGATGAATAAAAATTTAAAAATCTCAAATCTTCCCAAAAGAAGCATGGCTGCTCATTTAATTTCATCCCTGGGAAAAAGTATACTGCACTGCAAATTGATGCAGACCTTGCTTGCTTCAAAGTAAAAAAGAGAGAGAAAAAAAGAACCAAAATCACAGAATCTTGGGGAAAATGTAATTTATTTTGCAGCTGGCACTTTGTGGATTCCTTCTGCAACTCTCATTGTTTCATACACATTTGTAAAGGCAAATACAAAGACATATTTTGCAAGGCATGCAAATGTGAGAACAGCTTGTATAGTGGAAAACATAATGGCATCAGTTTATCTCAAAGTATACAGTAGGGCATTTGAAAAAACAATGTCAATGTCAGTGATTTGCCTGTTTTGTGTGTTTGTGTACAATATTACATCTGGTACTATGTTTAGAGAAATACAAAGGAACAGAAGTGGTATTCAGCAGGTTCTGACCAGTTCTGGAGAACCGGTAACGGAAATTTTGAGTACTTCGGAGAACCGGCAAATACCACCTCTGACTGGAGTTTTTACAATATCTTTCCCCTGCCATGCCCACCAAGCCATGCCCACAGAACCGGTAGTTTAAAAAAATTGAATCCCACCACTGCATAAGAACATACTATACATACTAAAGAACTGATTTCATCACTGTGAACAACTTTATTTTAAATGCCAATATGATACAGAACAATGCAGCTAAAGAGATATTTTCTGTTTTATTATTAAATTAAACACTCTGGGCTGAGGATAACCACCACACAATTGAATCTACACTCTGAAGAAAAACCTGAATTTGATTGACAGTGATAGATATAAAATCAATGGACATTTTGACGTAAAATCAGACACATTACTTTTTATCTTGTATTAAAAGCAAAGTAAATAAACCCCCAATAATAGAAAACTACAGGGACTAAACTCATGGTGGCTTCTATAACTTGTAGGAAATTATTCTTCTCCTACCACAAATCTGCTGGTTGGGTACAATAAATCACGTTTTTGTAGGATGAAAAAAAGCTGTGTTAAATCAAAACCACAAGAGTCAAGGAGCATTAGATTTATGGCAACCTAAGAGGAGATTTATGCATCCATTTCAACCTTTTTCCTCCAAATATTGATTGGCTAAGTACAGACATGTCTTCTGCCCCATCTCACCTTCAATTCTACAAGGATTTTAAGGGATGAGCAATAGTGGAGAGATAGTATTGGTTACAGTTTTTATATGCATTTGAAAATCACTTCCAAAAAGAACACCCAGGTAATAATTGAGGACTCCAGCAACAGACATCAGGAACAGAAAAAATATGATGCGCTTTCCAAAGATGTAACCAGGAGTGCTTAAACGAGAATGGAAGAATGTTATTAGTTCATTAGGAAATACCAAAATCTCTCCAGCTGTTATCAAAGCACGAGCCATTTGAATACAGTATAGCTTAGACATTTTGGAAGTAAAATTTTGCATGAACCCACATCTCTACACCAGAGTTGTAAAATTAGCACATAAATTCCATGCAATACATTTTAAAATACATGGGGATCGATTTAATATGCCTCTTAATTTATGCCTATTTAAGATGACATTGACAGTTTTGACAGTGTGATTTTTAAAAAAAAATCATCTCTAGAATACAGTAAAACTGTGAAAACAGTTTTATAAAATGCCTGTTTTAGGAATCCAAATAACAGTACCCACTCCCACCCAATAGGGGACTGAAAATTCCAACACTGCCCTTCCTGCTAATATCACAGCTTCTTGTTAAAGATTATGGCCTGCATACAAAACACTGCACTGACTATGAAACCTGTGGTGCTTGACATTGGAAAAGGCAAACTGGATGAAAGAGATGTTCTAATCTCAACGAAGGTTGATGAACTTTTTGTTGTCTTCTAATTCTAGGTTATGTTTTGAATCCAACTTCCTTGTAATCTAACATTATGTTCTTTGTATGTATTCTGCAGAAGTGCACACTCGTGATCTTAAATATTTAAGATACAACTGTTCTGTTTTAATTGATTTTGAGTTAAGACTTACTTTCAGGATATAATCATCCATTCTGTTCCACAATTCCGCCTTTGTAAGAACCCAATAAGAACCCAGTGCACATGGTGACCTTTAGAAATAAGTTACTGATCTCAGCATAGTTCCAATTTATTTTTAGCATCCTGATCTCAGAAAGGATGTGGAATTGTCTGAATAGTGAGGAACAATGTTGGAGAGTTTGTGAAAGAGAAAACTGTTCACCTGGATATGCAATAAATTGTCATTTTATATGCATATATAACTATATGTGACTAGGTGCACATATGTAACTCATTCATATAAGATGCTCAGAGTTTCCTAGAACTGCAAGATGGGCAGCGAATAAACTTAATAAAATAAATGAATATATGAAGGTTTTTGCATATGAATTTAAAGCACAAGGAACCGCAGAGAACAAAAGAAGGTAGATCTATTTCCTTGATTCTGTTTATTTCCTCCTCTGCCTGGCAATCCCCCAATCCTATTTAGAATTGCAGGCTTTTCTCCTTTTATTTGTCAGACAGAATTAGCTTGAGAAGGCAAATCTGAAACAGTCTTTCCTGGCTTAGTTTTTTCCAGATGTTTTACACTACAACTCTTGCAATCCCAGCTGATGATGGGAGATGTAGTTTAAAACATCTGGAGAGAGACAAGTTAGAATTACAGAATATGAATTTAGTAATTGTAGCACTGGTAGAAAGGAGAAATAGCTCATAAATGCTCATCTGACAGATCTGGAAGATAAATAAATAATGGATTTACCTCTGGGTCCTTTCTCCCAAGTAGCCAACAAAGTATTTTTGTCTCACAAACAAATACATCAACCCAGCAAAGGCAGCCGGAACTGAAATAAAGAAAGGAAAAAACTACTTTTAGATAGGCTGGCTTCACACATCATTATAAGTCACATATGCTATGGTTTACATAAGCATGTAATAGAAGCCACAATGATGTCATAATGCACATGATATCACATGTCCTGCAGATGCTGATGATAGCTTATTGCTTAGATCACAGCTGGTTGGTTTCATGTACTCTGCTAAACCAGGAACCATGGTTAACAGAAGATTGCTGTTTACCAAAACGTTTTAGTAAATGGTTGAAGTATCAAACTGCAGTTTCAAAGGCAAATCACACCAACCCGGGGGAAACAGCTAGCACTTTGTAATGTAGATTCAAGATTCAGAAGGATCTTGACAGATTTGAACATTGGACCCTAGCCAACAAGATGCAGTTCAGTGGTGAGAGAAGTAAGATCCTGCACTTAGGCAGGAAAAATCAAATACATAGGTACAGAATAGGCAGAACCTGGCTCAATAATTAGAAAGATCTAGGTCACGGGTGTCAAACTTGCGATGTCACATCATGTCATGTATCACGATTTCCCCCCGCCTTTGCTAAACCAGGGGTGGGTGTGGCCAGCATGTGATGCATCCGGCCAGTGGGTTGTGAGTTTGAATTGAACACCCTGAATTCTAGGTGTTCTAACTGACCACCACTTATAGTTAAGTGTGCTTGCAGTTGCCAAAAAAGCCAATGTAGTCCTAGGCTGCATCAACAGAGGGATAGCATCAAGATCACGGGAAGTTATAGTACCACCTTACAGGAGTGGGATTCAATTTTTTTAACAACTGGTTCTGTGGGTGTGGCTTGGTTGGTGGGCATGGCTTGGTGGTCATGTGACTGGCTGGGTGTGGCCAACTCAACATCACTCACATCGAGGCATGCATCTCCTCGCCTGGCCTCTCGTGACCGTGGGGATGCTGCAATAGTCGTAAGTGTGAAAAATGGTTATAAGTCACTTTTTTCAGAGCCATCGTAACTAACAACCGGTTCTCTGAACTGCTTAGAATGTTAACAAATGGTTCTACCAAATAGGTGCAAACCTGTAGAATCCCACCCCTGCCACTTTATACTACACTAGTGAGGCCACACTTGCAATACTGCATCCAATTCTAGTCATCATGATACAAAAAAGATGCTGAGGAATAGTACAGAGAAGAGCAATAAAAATGACAAGGGCTTTTGAGGTTAAATAATATGATAAATGGCTGAGGAAACTAGGTATGTCTAGCCTAGCAAAAATAAGGTGCGGGGTAACATGATAGCTGTCTTCCGATAATTGAGTGGCTGTCATAGAGAAGAGAGGGTTAACTTATTCTCCAAAACATTATATATTTGCATCGTCATATATCTGAATCTGAGTAGTCATCATTTTAGTCAGGATTAACTATCATTTGAATAAAACGTTCTAGGTTTTATCTGCCAAAATGTCCTTGCTATAGAATAATTAAAGGCATAAAAGATCTGCCAAGAAAAAGGCTGTTGGCCTACATTCACGCCAACATCGTGCTATAAAATATCTTTTTAGGTGTATGCCTTAGGAGGATATGTATATTATTAGATCTCTTCCCATAGCTTTTAAATGAAGCCACCTCACTTACTTTTCGTGATCTCTCTAGCAAGAATCTTTCAAAAGGAAAATTTAGTATTGTTGTTTGTTCTTAATCAGTGGAATGACTTGCCTTCAGAAGCTGTGGGTGCTTCAACACTAGGCGTTTTTAAGGAGATTGGACAACCATTTGTCTGAAATGGTATAGAGCAGTGGTCGCCAACCAGTGGGCTGGGAAACACTGGTGGTCTGTGAGAAAATTTTGGTGGTCCACAGAGAAATGTCCCCCCCAAAGCAATTAATCCAGGCTGCATGGGAACACAAGGCTGTGCCGCCCACATGGCCTGCGGGAACACAAGGCTTGCATCGTTTGCATTGCGAACAACATGAGGTAGTGAGGGGAGGGGAGGAAGGGCAGAGGGGGGATCTTGCCCTACTCACCCCACATGCCTCGCTTGGCCACCAGGCTGCTTCTTTCAGCTTCTTTCTTCTTCTGCTTTTGGCTGCATGCAGGAAAGCAGTCAGTCTTTCTTTCTCTCCCCCAAACTCTGCCAGAAATGAGTCTTTGGGACCCTGCAAGTCCTCCTGCTCCAAGAGGCTGTGCCAGCAAAGACTCATTTCTGGCGGAGTTTGGGGAAGGAAAAGAAAGACTTCTGCTGCTTCTGTTGTTTTCCTTCCATGAAGCCAAAAGTCTCTCTCTCTCTTCCTCCCTCCCTCCCTCTCTCTCCCTCTCTCTCTCTCTCTCCCTGAGAACGGAGCTGGAGACGGAATTCTGTGATCCCAAATAAAGAACGATCGATCGGTAGGCAAACAGGGTGGGGAATTTTCCTGCAGACTTTTGGGGGTATTTTCTCAGGGTCTCTGGTCCGCAGGATTTAAAATTATGAGTTTGGTGGTCCCTGAGGTCCAAAAGGTTGGCGATCCCTGGTATAGAGTTTGAGCAGTGGATTGGACTAGAAGACCTCCAAGGTCCCTTCCAACTCTGTAATCTTCAGCAACAATAAAAGGGATTGGGGGAATACATTTTAATGTAAGGTCCATGTGATGATAAGAATTAGCATCTATTATTTCCCTTTCCTTTCTCCACCCTTTTTCCTTTTGTTATGTTTTATTACATAAACAGTTGAGGTCTGTCTCTGGGAGCTTTTCAGACTGAAGAGCAGCAGCGGTGGGCTGCTGCAGGTTCAGACCGGTTCTAGCAAACCTTCATGAACGACGATGTTGGCCCCGCCCACTCACCCCTGTGCTATCATGTCTTACATTTCCTTCTTTTGCAGCTGGGCTGATTCGCGTAGCATGTGGATTGCCGCACCTCAGCTGTTCTACTTATTGGGGAAGGCTAGAAAGTGAGCTGGAGAGGTTCAAATGGATGTTTATTGAATGCTGCATGCGCGCTCACAGAACCGATTGTTAAACTGATTGCAGCCTACCCTTGAAGAGCAGGCTGGATTGATTACCTACCTTGGCTGCACAGCAGGCCAGCACACCAAAGGACAGCAAGAAAGGTAGGATACGCATCTCTGCAATTTTGGCTAGAGAAAAATTAGGAAAAGGAAGAGTGAGGGCACATGCCATGAGATTAAGAGAATGTATCCATAGCCATGAAATTTTAAAAAGTAGTTAACAAGTAGTGTATAAACTAAAATAAATCCTGTCTTACCTCTTAATCTGTTAAGTATCTTAAATAAAATTGGTCAGCATAAATAATATTTATACAAAGTTTCGTTTAACATAGGTCTGACTCAGTGCTCTGCTTTATATATCACATGGTGTGATCATTGCTAAGGATGCATAAGAGATTTGTTTATTTTGCATTTATCTTCTTTTCATGATTTACATTTGTCTGTATTTTGCAATGAAATAGTCAGTAGCTACATGAATTTAAAAACTGGAAATATAAAATGTGCATATATTAAGAAAATAATGTATAAAATGCAACATGTTAGATAAACTTATTAAAACGATGTTTTTGAAGAAATGTGTATGTATGGTGTGTGTTTGTGTGTGTACGTATAACTACATATTTCAAAATAAAAGTTCAAAAGTTATTGGGAAGTAAAATTATTCTCAAGTTTAATAAACAAAATATGGCTTATTTGTTAGGACGCAAAGCAAAAACAAAAACAAAAGTTGTTGAGAACCAGAAGTTTCTTCTTTATTTTTTTCTTCCTGAGCTTTTGTTTTCTTTTTCTTGCCTCTCTTTTCTTGTCTGCTTTTATTAGTTTGTAATATATATATTAGACAAATGTGATTAAGACTACTGCACTATTATTACTGTTAATCTTCTCATCACTTCTTATCACCCATCCCCTCCCACTTGTGACTGTATGACTGTAACTTTGTCGCTTGCATCCTTACGATTTATATTGACTGTTTCCTAGTATGATTTGATTGCTTTTGGTACCCTATGACTATCATTAAGTGTTGTACCTTATGATTCTCGATTCTTGATGAATGTATGTTTTTTTTTTCTATGTATACTGAGAATATTTACACCAAGACAAATTCCTTGTGTGTCCAATCACACTTGGCCAATAAAGTATTCTACTCTGCTCTGCTCTGCTCTGCTCTGCTCTGCTCTATTCTATTCTATTCTATTCTATTCTATTCTATTCTATTCTACTCTACTCTACTCTACTCTACTCTACTCTCCTCTCCTCTCCTCTACTCTACTCTACTCTACTCTACTCTACTCTACTCTATTCTATTCTATTCTATTCTATTCTATTCTATTCTATGTGATTGAGATAAACACATGCACACACATGGAAACCAAGTGGAGTATTGATAGCACTGTTGTTGCCACCATCTTAATTCTTTAAAATTAGATTGTGTGGACACAGTACGCACACAGTACAGACCACCGGGTGCTGAGGCTACCAGATTTAGGTTGCAGAAGTCTGCATGACCACTAAAGGACAGCAAAGAGAAATAGAAAACATTAACCCTCTACTATCCACTAAAGATTGTCTGGAGTCTTGCAGCCAAAATATATAAGCGAAATACCCTGTTATCTCCATTGACTCAACCAATAAATACCTTCATAATTGAAGGCCAGCCTTCTAAGGCTGATGAGGTTGATAGCAATTGTATTTAAAATCAAAATTCTGTATAGCTTGGCTCCAAGTAATTCTCAAGGAAGCCACTTCTGTAACAGGGATATTTAACACCCTTAGCAGATTTGAGTTCCAGAAACACCTCTTTAGATTTTGCCATTCTTGCAGCCACATGTGCAACACTTAGAGTAAATAAGGTATATGGAAATTTTTCTCTCTTTGAACCTTAATATGAAAAGGAATACTCACTTGGCAGTAAAGACACGTTCAAAAGCTGATGGACAACACTTCTGATTTGTTTTGCCTGTGTTGCTTTTGCTTTCTTGTTCGACTTTGCTTGCAAAAAAAGCTGAGGGTTTTTTTAAAAAAAAGCACAATGAATTTTTATTGTAGGTTTTGCTTTTTCTTGATGTAGAATACCAAAATTACTAAGAGACATGAATATAATTATAATATCAAAAACAGCAATGTGAAATATTTGTATTAAGCACACAGTTAAAATTAGTAGTTTTTCTATTAAAACAGCAATGTGTTAAAATACGTGAAAATATTTCTATGACAATATAATAGCTAGCTAGCAAAATGTCAGTATGAAACAGAAATATTGCATTGCAACAGATAAGTTTTTAAAAAAATTCAAAATAGTATGGTTAGAGATATAATAAACCTACTCAACCCAACCTATTAAAAGCTTTCTTCCCATCCCCTCAAAGTCTTGCTGTGCCATCTCATTATAGTTGTGGTGGGCTGTTTATTGGAGGAGTATATGCCAGGAGTATATAATCTCAGCAAGATCATCCTAGCTGCCCAGCTAAAGCAAGCAAGCATTATAAGGTCAACAACGATATAGGAAGATGCTGGAAGCAGATTATAATTTATGGAACAATGGCAAAGACATAATTTCATACTGTGTGGGAGAAGGTAATGGTAAAACACTCCTGTATTTTATCAAGAAAATCACATGGATAGAAAATATAAAATGATTAGTAATATAGTACTGGATAATAAACCTGTTGGGTTGGGTAGCACTTAACATGGAACAAGGAAGAAATGAAGGTCATATAGAAACAAAGGGTGTTTATGGGGTAGCTTGAGTAAAGCCTTTGAGATACTTAGTTGTCCAGGTTGCCATGAAGAAAAATAAAATCCAAAAGTTGAAAGATGGAATTACAATGTGAAGATGGAATATAAGAAGCTTGAATATGGGAAAGTTCAAAACAATGAAGGATGAAATGAACTGACTTGTTGAATACATTATATGTAAAATGGGACAAAATTCACTTAACAACTGTCTTGCTTAGCAACTGAAATTTTGGGCTCAACTGTGGTCGTAAATCAAGGACTGCCTGTATCCAGAAGTTTCCAGGCTGACATTTCTGCAGAAAGGGAAGTTTGAAAATCACTACTGTCAAGCTGCTAACTCACAATTATACAGCCATCTGCATGCAAAGAACAATACTGAACAGAAGAAGGAAGGAAGAGAGATACTAATTTGCTCTATTGAGAAAAAGCAATGATTACTAAGGAATTTTGTCACTTCCTCTTAACCGATGCATGACAATGACCCAGGGGCCACTTTCTTCATGTCCATATCAACTAGTCTTTGTGTCATCCCCAGCACAAAGAGCTGAGGCATCCCCTTAGCTGTGCTCCTGTTAAATAACATTTTCCCTCTTCTCTTGCCATGTTTAGCCTGCTTTACTGATGATATGATCTCTGGTGCAGCCACGGGATAGGATCTATCCAGCTCAGAATGACATACCTGTTCCCTTCCAATGGCTAGAATCTGCCTTTCAGGGCCATTTTAGCTGGGGCTATAGGACAGGTTGCACCCTTGGCTTCTTCAGAAGCATCTATCCTTATAACGCCTCACTGGTATTGTCAGTCTAACTGGGGCTCCACTTAAAGATAGGCTTAGAAAACACTAGTCCTGTATTTAAAGAGAGGGCACTAATCCTGTGCCACCCAGAAAGTGAATTTAAACTAGGAAAGAGAACCAGGTTTGCCAGGAGCATGTTTTTAATTCTGCCATCATTAAGTACTTTTCAACTGCTTCTGCCAACATTGAGTTTGACTCATGACTGTTTTTAATTTTTTTGCTTCCTTCCTTGACTGATTGACTATGTGCCATTAAATTGTTTTTTTTATTCCTAGCGACCACATTTTCTCCCTGACAATCTATTGCTAACCTAGTCTTGGGTGGGGAGTGTTGTATGTTCAACACTGCTCCAATTTTGACATACTAAGATGCCATTTATCATTACTGTTGTTATTATGCTTTGATGAATAAACATTACTGTGACTATCTAAATGGGTATTTCTCAGACACTTCCAGAAGATTGTTGGTCATGAGGTCAAAACAGGACTAGTCTTTTCTTTTCTTGCACTTTTTGTTTTTTCTTTGATCACTTGCTTTTTCCCCCCTCTTTACTTAATATTACTTTGTGTTCATTTTTATCATCTTATTTTGCTTCACTCCACATTCTAGTTTGCATGTCTGGCCTGTAACCCAGGCTAGTTTTGAACATGGGCTTCTATTGTGCTATGGTGATAAATACATGCTTAGAAACACCCAAGATACATATGGAGGAAAAGTCACCCTGAGCATGAATTCTGAAAAGGCTCCCTTCTACTTCATCCCCTCCTTAAGCAAGGGGCTTAACAGTATCCAAACCAGGATCATTACATTTTAAATGGGACAGGTGGGAAAATGGAACCAGAGGAATCCTCAGTTGCTTTCTCTGACTTGGCCCAGAAAAAGGAAAGTTGGCCTGATTTCTGTGACACTAAAGGATGACTAAGGGGACAGCATAACTGAAATTGGACATGCTTTCCTGCCAGCTCAAGGCATGGTGGAAGTACTTTAATTCAATTAACTGAAAGGTTCACCTTCTTTTTTAAAAGTTTTTTTTTCTTTTTCCCACATAAACAACCAAGGTCCATTTACACAGTTGCATCACAACTTCCTGAAAAGAAACCTCAACTTTGTTTCCCAATGTTGTACTTCCTTCGTCTGTGCTTTGCACTCATGTCTCTGCATCCAGTTCAGATTGATTCACAACACCAGAGCAGTGGCGGACTTAAGTGTCATTCTCCCTGTGCGTTGACATGCCTTTAAGGTTACAGAAAATTCAGCTGTTCCTGCCTGCAGCTTGTCCTTCTGAGCTCATCTGGACCTTATTTGCACATATCTACAAAGCCTGGATTCCATTTTTAAAAAATTAAAAGCAGTTTTGGAGAGCATTTCAGGGAAGAAGCACTATCATGAATTTAACTCTTTCCACACACGAACTTTCTTTCAATGCTGGAAATAATTTTCCATATTTCATCCATTTAATTTAAAATACTGGTTATTTGTGAACATTGCAGGAAGGAGGTATATGAAAAAGTGAGTGGATAATGGGAGAAAACATACAAAAATTAACAGGAAAAAAAGTGCAATCCAAATTTCTAAGGGCTATAGCACCCTATGTTTCTAACCCAATAGTAAGAAGAGAGACAGATTGTGCAAGGTTGAAACAGATGCATGGATTTTGCATTACAGCATGCTGGGTGAAATTACTGTTCTTTCCACAGGTCCCAGCCCTTTTCTTGTGGAGGATAATTATAAATCAACATGGATTAGGACTATTTCACTGAAAATCCAATATATCAGCTTCTTCAAGTAGGAGTTCCTATTGGCGGGCTATGAGCGTGGCCTTAGTACACTTAGACAATGTATTAAAAACCAGGAAGTCCAACAGGATCCATCTGCTCTACCCAAGAATGTTTTCTTTAACAGTCAGACCTCCCTTCACAAACCAGGAAGATATTTATATCATATAGTTGTCTCTAAATTTTAGGAGGACCCCTAAGTCTAGCACATTGGTCACCCTTCGATGATTCCACCATTAACTGCAATACATTGTTACATCATCTTCTATTCCATTTTATTTTATTTGAATGTTTTAATTTTTATTCTGGTCCATGGCCATATTAAAATATTAAACTGAATCAATAAACAGAGGAAGACTGGTATCTCTCTTCTCTGCTTTAAATTTCACTTCTATATACTCTTTTTTTAAAAAAAGAATATTTGTAGCTCAGGATTGAAATGAGGGGACCTTGGTGCTCTCTGAGCTTGATTGTTTTCTTGCAGATGTTTCATCAGCCAAACCAGGTAATATCATCTGTGCTTGTTACCTAGTCTGGGTAATGAAACATCTGCAAGAAAACAACCCAGCTCAGAGAGCACCAAGGTCCCGTCACTTTCATTTTCTTTCTGTTCTTATTAAATGGTTTGGGAACTTCAAAATATTATACTGGCCTGTAAAATAATGGAAATGTGATTCTTCAATAAGTCTTAAGAAAAAAAAAGTCAGGTAAAGTAAATGGCTCCAATCTAGCACTAGAAAACATTGTTCTAGGAAGATCCTCCTTAGCTGTCTTTTCCCATGGCTGAGCTGGTGTCTCCTCCACTGGTTCTTGAATCAGTTGGAAATTCTACCAGTATGTAATGTGGTGATCTTATTCTGATTCTATTGCCTTTGTTTACTGGCATTGGTTGATAAAGCCTATGAGATTTTGTACAACCAAGGCTGGCTTTGGATGTATTTGGAATAAGGGGGAAAGCATTACCCCAAAACTAGCTAAGTGCCCACTCATGGGCCAAGGACTTGATGAAAGCAATGCCATGGAACTTAACAGAAATGATGCCAGGACTCATGGTTAGGTGCCAATTATTGTGTCCAGTTACTTTTGCACTGACTTCATGCTACTATTTCAAGGAGTTGAACCTAAGGAGAGAATATAGAAGACTGCCAGTAAAGTTACTTCCAATTCATTTTAAACAAAATGGAATGTACAGTATGGTTTTATTCCTGTATGCATAAATACACATACATTGTTTCAATTCATCTGCAGTGGGGTTCTTTTTTTAAAAACAACAACAACCCTTTTTTATTTTTTGGTGTTCAGCTTTTCATCTGGAATTTTCACTACCATTTGAGTTGAACATGAAGCTTGCATGAACATCTGTGTACTGAAATTAAAGTCTTAAAAAGAGCATTATTAAGGCCATTATCCTATAGCTAAGCAGTATAAATGTCTAATTATTTTAGTATAAGGATGGTTGGATGATCCAAAAAGATGCTGTAAATGACTAGTGGGAATATGGCCCAACCCTTCTTCCTCTTCATTCCCCTTACCTTCCCCAGACATTTCATCCAGCTCAGCAGGGAACAAGGAAATGGAAGATTTGCAACTGAGTGGTAGATTCCATGTTTTACATGCAAAAATTCCACACTTAATTCCTGGCATTTCCACTCTAAGCATCTATAGAACCTTTTCCATCACTTTAACTGATATTCAACTCTATGAATCAACAAACCTGAATCAGTACAAGGCAGATGGTTGTTATAACTGTTATTAAAAAGAAATACCCTTTTCCCTCTGAAAAAAATGTTGTTCAAAATAAGCAGCAAACGTCAAGAAATGGATAAAAACTATTATAGCTCACAAGAAAATAAAATAGCTGTAAAGAGAAAACACTCATAGGGGTTGTTGTTAGTTATCAAAGGAATGGGCTTATTGAAAGAAAATGGTGGATCATTAAAAAGGAAGGGAATTTAACCTCCAGAAGGAAGGAAGGGCCAGAACTGTTATCTTTAAGAAACTCCTCTGATGGTAATCGTATATTTGAGAGCTGAGGGATTAAGGCCAAGTCAATGCTTCAAGTAATGCAAATATAGTGCTGGATAATAAATTTCTAGTCCAGTTTGTAATTTGCCACATCCAACTTTTTCTCTTACAATTTTTGTCAAGTAAATTTTAGTTGACGATGCATACTATTAATCCATATTGAATACTTAAAAGCATAATATTAAAACTGCTGAATTTGATCCTTTTTGCCAACCAATTAAAAAACATATGCAGGAAACACACAACAATAGTAGTGGGAGACTTCAATTATCCTGATATCAACTGGAAAATTAATTCTGCACCAAGTGAGAAATCAAATAATTTCCTAACCAACCTAGCTGACAACTTTGTTGTCCAAAAGGTAGAGGGTGAAACTAGAGGGACAGCCATACTGGACTTAATTTTTACAAACAGAGAAGAAGTGGTAGAGGGAATTGAAACTGTGGGAACCTTGGGTGAGAATGACCATGGCAGAATATCAGCAGATAGCCAGAATCTGCAAAGACGAAGTCAGGATAGCAAAAGCTCAGAACGAACAAAGACTTGCATCAAAAGTCAAAAACAATAAAAAAAAGTTTCCTCCAACATATAAATAACAAGAAAAAAATCAAGGAAACAGTCGGTCCACTAAAGTGAGAAGATGGCAAGGAAGTAATAGGCAACAGAGAGAAAGCAGAACGGCTTAACTCATTCTTTGCAGTGTTCTAGGTCCTAGGAGGTGCAACTTTAACAAAATTGGAAGCCATCAGGTTGCCAAGAAAAAAAAGAAGCAGCAATTTATCAACTAAAACTCATGTATTTATTAAATCTATAAGGAGTCCCAAATGTCTGATCATTATATCAATACATTTAATCAAAAATAAATGTTTTGTGTGTGTTTGTGTGTACATGAATAAAATCTTTACATATTTCTCAAAATTGAAACAAGTCAAACAAAGGTATGTAATTAATATAATTAATTAAAGTAATCTGATAAGCAGGATGAAAATAAATCTCCAGTGCAACTGGAATGGACTAAGAAATTTGATCCGCAATACATCAAGCATACCACATCTTAGATAATAATAACTGAAAACTGCTTCAATTCATATTAGATTGTCAGTGCTAGGAAATTAGTAGTGCCACTGCAGTCTTTTTCTAAAGAAACTCTCAGTATAAGAAAAGTAAATATAGTATTCAAATGGTTTACTATTAAGATATTGAATTTTGAAACAGCCACCCTTCAAAATTGATGAATTTTTTACTGAAAAGTATCAGACGCATCTTATTGGATTTTTGATGAGGAAGGCCTTTGCGATATTTTGTCTCCACTGACTCTATCAAGGAAATTCTGAAGGATTATTTTTTCTTGAGAAAAATGGAAAGAAGGTCTTACACTCTTGTCTGAAGAGCCAGACAAAATAAATTCCATTAATTATTTCTAATTCAGAGTATGGATTGGTTGTTACAGAGCTTTGCTGAGATATCCTACTAAAATAACTCTCTGTATTTAATCCATATTAATCTTTCTTAATGCAAATTACTAATACCACTCTATAAAGCCTTAGTAAGACCACACCTAGAGTACTGCATGCAGTTTTGTTCACCACATTACAAAAAAGATGTTGAGACTCTAGAAGAAGTACAGAGAAGAGCAACCAAGATGATTAGGGGACTGGAGGCTAAAACATACAATGAATGGTTGCAGGAACTGGGCTTGGCTAGTCTAGTAAAGAGAAGGACCAGGGGAGACATGATAGCGGTCTTCCAATATTTGAGGGGCTGCCACAGGGAGGAAGGGGTCAAGCTATTTTCTAAAGCGGCTGTAGGCCAGACAAGGAATAATGGATGGAAACTGAACAAGGATAGATTTAACCTGGAAATAAGGAGAAACTTTCTGACAGTGAGAAAAATCAACCAATGGAACACCTTGCCCTCAGAAGTTGTGGGAGCGCCATCTCTTGAGACTTTCAAGAAGAGACTGGACTACCATTTGTCAGAAATGGTGTAGGGTCTCCCGCTTGGGTGGGGGGTCGGAGTAGATGATCTATAAGGTCCCTTCCAACTCTGATTATCTGTTAATTAAATCTGTCTGATCCAGGAAACCCCCAACCCCGAAGGAAACGAAAAGCAAATAGCTGGAAATTTTCAAATGACTTCAACAGGCATGAAGGCATTCACAAACAAGTCCATGAAAACACATCATTCCACCCACCCAAGGCAAAATATATCTTTCTTTCTTGGGTTTGCATACAATTCTTGGTTTCGTATGCAATCTTCAGCCTTACCATTTTGGATGACACTTAGGAGGGTGACAATCACCAGAAGAACAATGTAACCAACCATGTCTTGGTCCATGCTGACAGCTTGTCTTGTGAAGGTTTTCTGTGTAGTTCTCTTTGGCAACTCAGCTATACAAACCACACAAAGAGGAAGTTATTGTCTCCCTTATCTTGCATAATGGAAGTTTTTTATGGCTTCACAGTCTGCAATTTGATAGTGTGTAATATATTCAGTTCAACCGTCTTCATTTATGAATACAATACATTGATCAGCTACATGTTAAAGAGCTCTCATTTTATTTGGCATTTTTCATCTGATAGTCCATTGTTACCATTATTAAGAATATACTAATCATAATATATCCTAACATGTACAATTAAAATAAATTTGAATCAATCTTGCCATGTTCAAAACCTGTCATTCTTTGTAGCTTTTTTTCAATTTGTCCATTTCAATTTATCTCTGGTTGGTGTATACTAACTTTAATACATACCTTTTCAAAACATGTGCAATTGTCTGTAATATGGCATATTTTGGTTAAATAGGAATAATTTTATATAGTTTTCCTAAATGTATGAATTTTGTGAAGGTTTTTACTAATAGAGTATGCATTATTACTGCTTGAATGATGAAGTGCTTAGAAAGATTCAGAGGTGCAAAAAGGATAACTGAGTTTTCACTATGTGTTGGTTCAAAAAGCTTTTTGCATTGTAGCAGAATCCTATCTCTAACATCAATGGAGTTTCTAGGAATAAAAGATGGCAACTAACATAGTCTAGTAGGGAGCAACCTTTTTATGTCATCCGTGAAAAATTAAGTTGGAGCATTGGATATGTTAATTTTTCAAAGTAGCAAATCACAAATAGGCGTCTGGGATCTTAAATAATTATTTAAGATGATTTATGAGGGTGTAATTAGCAAAAAATTGTTGAAAGGTGTCAAAATGCCTTTCTTTCGAGGATTTGATTTTCTCACTGGGAGAGCTCCGGCGCAAGGATATGGACAACTGCTTGAAAGCTGGATCTTTTTATTTTTCAGGAAGGCAGAGAACAGCGAGAAGTCTGCGTTCCTGGGCTAGCTAGCTTCTTATGGTAAGTCCCTCGTTTTTTATACCCTTTTCTCCCTTTGTAAATTGATTTTGTGTGAGTGTTTGTATCTGTGCCTAATGTTTCAAATCCTGTTTGAGTTTGTCTTTATTTCCGCCGGAGGGCAAACTCCGCGGGGTGGCCACATTGTATTATTGGTTTTCTGTAATCTCTTTTAGCTTTAAGATAGTTTTTCATATTTGTTCTGTGGCAATCTCCTGTCTGTCCCTTTTGTAATTTATATTTTGTGTCTTTTGTCTGTTTGTTTTGCTTATTTGGTATGTCCTGTGTTTGAAAGGGTTTTCTAAATTATCTTTTGTTTCCTTTTCCTATTTGTCTAGTTTTCTTAATTACTTAGGCTTTTCTCTATAGGGATTCTTTAATACTTTTTATTTGATTCCTTTTCCTATGTAAGTTTGTTTTCTGGCTGACCTGATGTTTCCCTTGGGCTTTTCCTGTTTTTTGTGACACTACTGCCTTTGTAAAATTCCCTTTCCACAAAACTATTGAATGGTAACGCGGGGTTCCCAATTCAGAAAACATGTATACTGTATTCACTTAACATTTTTAAATATCAGGGTGAGTCTTTTTGAAAACTCTGTACAAATTTGAAAATATATCTGGATTTCTGAAATTCTTTGCTTTCAAATGCATTTGAAATTTGAACTAATTATTTCTCGTTCAGTTGCAACCTTCAGTTGCAAGACATTATTTTATTTTTATTTAGTTTGTCAAGCATGTATAAGAAAACAAGTATAAGTATGAACATAACATATAAACGTGTAAATATAAACAGGTATAATCACTCTGAGAAGCAAGAGCCGAAGACAGAAGCCTGAAGATGATGAATGAGACTTCATCGAAACGTTGCCTAGATACTTCGAATCTTACGCGGGAGAAAACCCGAACAACCAAAGATCCACAAACAGGTATAAGTATATATATAATAAATGAGTACAAATAAATGGGAACAGTAGGATAGGAACAGTAGGCACACTGGTGCGCTTATGCACGACACGTAGTCAACGTTGCTTTGTAGGGCAGAAGTATTGTCAGTGGTGTTAAATAGTTTTACGTCATCAGCGAAGAGAACGCAGTTGCTTTTAATATGATCAAAGTCGTAATCAGGGGCACTGTAATATAGTAAGAAGCAAAGTTTATGGACAGATTGCAGATGATGGTCTTAGGAAGATCGATTTCCTGTGTAACTTGAATCTTTTTCAGATCTCGGGACTTTTTATGGAAAATGGCAACACCCACCCCCTCTACGGTTTTCATGGTCAGATTGGAAAACATGATAGTCATGTACTGTGGTAATGGAGTCTGGAAAGGATACATTCAACTACATCTTGCAGACAAAGATTAGATCAAAAAGGGCTGCATTTAGGAGGAGGAGGAATTCAGGCATTTTATTTGCGAGGCTTCTTGCGTTCAGTAGCTTGCATTTACAGTCTGTTGTGGTGGACCTGGAGGAAGTTGGGGGTGTTTGTGCCTAGTTTTGGTTTTTAGGGGTGGTGGTTGTTGGGACGTATGAAGTAGGTCTTGCGTTTGATACAGTCAGTGCGGTAGTTGATGTATAGGTCTGTCTCACTTTGGTCCTGGCATCTTTTAAGCTCTGAGTGGAGCTCGTGAGTGTGGGCAAGTTGTAGTATTTAAAGGTCAGGCCATGAGCAAAGTTTCTTATGGTTAGTACTGCTTTTTGCAACTTCACTTAAAATTCTGTAGTTCTTTAGAAGTTGTGGTTAGTCCATTGGAAGAAATACATCCCACTTGTTTTTTGGAACCTAAATTTAGCAGGCTTTGTTGGAGAAAGAGGGCTTAACACTTCAGTTTTCCCTCATAAACTTGTGTAGGTCTGTCTAGGTATCTATCATTTAATCTATCATCATCTATCTATCATCTTTCCTCTAATCATTTACTCTATTTACCCACCTAGCTGTCTATCAAGTGGCTCAATCTCAAAATAGCTGTGACTTGCGTTTCCCCCATTTTGTCCTCACCACTGCCAGCACATTTCCCAAAGCTGGTGATGCCAGTTTGGGGAAGTGAAGTCTAATTCCCAGGGAGAGTGGCTGGCAGTTGTCAAAAGCTTGCAACAGCAACAGATGAGAGCCACCTGGATCCTCATCTGAATGCAACAGAGGTGGCATTCAGCAGGTTCTGACCAGTTCTAGGGTCTCTACAGAGGACCCAAAGAGGAAGCAGGAAACCACCTTTGAGACTGAGGGCAGCAAGGGGCCAGGACAAATGGGAAAGCACCGGTTCTTACATCAGTGTACTTGCAGCTCATACTCTGATTGGGACTCCTCCTTAACCCGCTAGTGAGAGCAGGTTGAATCTACATCTACTGTCCAATTGGACTGAAGCCTGGAATACCAACAAGCCTGTAATGTTCCAAGAAGTCGTCTAGTTAGAGGTGAAAAACTAAAACCCATGAGAATCCTTACTTCATTCTGACTATTTATATTCATTACAAAAAATCCTCTTCATTTGCTCTCCTTTTAAAATATTGTGCGTACATGGTTTTTGCTGTCTTGGCCCTATGATCTTTGTCTGATGTTTGTCTGAAATGGTATACGGTTTCCTGCCTGAGAAGGGGGTTGGACTAGAAGACTTCCAAGGTCCCTTCCAACACTGTTATTCTCTTCTGTTCTGTCTCATGCTTGATTTAAGGAGGGGTTCAAGAGGCATTGACCACATGAGCCCAAGGAAAGGCACACGATTTACTGAAAGCTTAGTGAGGGCACTCGCTCTCTAAGCGTTGCTATTTTCTCTAAATGGAATTTGTCCATAATGGCAAATCAAGGGCAGCCTCTTGTGAAGGGAGACTACCCTTGCCCCTCACAAGGCAATTGCTACCACTTCTGTTTTCAAAGAGTCATCCACATTCATGAATCTGGTCCTTCTTGCCTCTCTCTGGCCAAACAAATAAGGTAGGAGAGGTAAGGATCCAGGTGGCTCTCATCTCACAGAGTACCTCACTGAGATCAGTAGAACCAGAGGTGGCATTCAGCAGGTTCTGACCAGTTCTGGAGAACTGGTAGTGGAAATTTTGAGTAGTTTGGAGAACCGGCAAATACCATCTCTGACTGGAGATTTTACAGTATCCTTCCTTTGCCATGCCCACCAAGCCACATCCACAGAATTGGTAGTAAAAATTTTGAATCCCACCACTGAGTAGAACCAGAGGTGGGATTCAGCAGGTTCTGACCAGTTCTGGAGAACCAATAGCAGAAATTTGGAGTAGTTTGGAATACCACAACTGACTGGTCCTGCCCCCATCTATTCTCCACCTCACGAGTCCCACCTGTTCGGCTTGGTCTTCTTTTGTTGCCCTGCACAGGAGAACAGAGCTGGAAAGCAGGTTAGTGGGGTGGGGAAGAGAATGGGGATTTTGTAGTATCCTTCCCCTGGAGTGGGATAGAAATGGAGATTTACAGTATCCTTCCCCTGCCACTCCCACCAAGCCATGCCACGCTCACCAAGCCGCACCAAGAACTAGTAGTAAATTTTTTTGAATCCCACCACTGAGTAGACCCCACAGGCTGAAATGAATCTCTGGTGCAGAAAGGTACTCATATCATCATTTCCTTGGGCTCTACTCAGCCAAGGTTGTGAACATATCTAATATCCCTTTCTACTCCTATTTGCACCATAACAGCCCTGTGAGGTGTGTGGAGCTAAGAGAGATGACTGGTTTAAAGTCACCCAACTGGCTTTCAGAGCTGAGACTAAAACTCAGCTCTGTTGTCTTGGCAGCAGGTGTTCCTTCTTGCTCTTCAAGGTCATTCCCTCTGGCCCTACAAGGGTTGGTTGCTTTGAATACGATTCCTTAGACATGCTTTTCAAAAGAAAAAAAAAACATTCTCCAAAAGAACCGGGGGTTCCATTAAGGCAAGATTGGGAGACAGAAGTCATCCATGCCAACAGCCCCCAACCTTTGGGGTGCCATGGACTGGGCACGTGAGAGAAAGGGCACGTGGTTTCGTGTACTTCCTGCATCCTGAAGATGGGGCTTCAGTTTGGTTTCTATTT